TGACTGTTACTATTTTGCAGGAACATAACGCATCAACCACTAGCTGTGTCCCCTTTTACCATGAAACCAGTGATATCTAGCCAGATCTCATACTGAATTCCACTGAGGAGATTTTACTCGACGTTACATACACAACATCCGCTGCATGCTCTCGATTGATATAATCCGACCAATTATCCTTGATAGTTAACAGATTTGTTATGATTCAGTAACCTGAACGGATTAAATTTCACTGGGTGACTGGAAATAATGTGGAATAATATTATATAAGAATTTTCAAAGATGATTATCGTTGTTCACTGTAGATACACAAAGACATTGTGACCATTTTCGGTACTGAACTGGATTTCTATATATCACATATGCTACGTTCCACCCACCCATCCAAACCCAAAACCGATGGTGGATCATTGAGAAGTTGAATATGTACAGTTTATGACTGTTTAAGTAAATTTTCAACGGACTTCATGCCGATTGGGGATGACATTGTGACCACAGTATATAAGTTCACCCAAGGGAACCCTGATCTCTAAAATGCAATGAAAGCTCTCCTTATGCGTTTGAACCTTTGAACCTAAATGACTACTAAATGAGATTGTACATTTTGCTTCTCTTCTCCTGCACACGCACCCACACACCACGGAAAACGTTATTCCTCTCTGATACGTGTCCGCGCCTCTGGGTCAATCGATCATCGTGTCCCGTGAATAGGGCTGGTTGGCCGGAGTTGACGAACGTCAGATGACCGATGTGCACTATCGTTCGTTAGATGGGGAGGGGAATTTCAATTGGCGATTTGTTTTCCCCTTTTTCTATTTGCCGGCCGAGAACACCTTGATTGTGCGACGCAAAGAACACTTTTGGTCCTTGGACGCGACAGAGATCCGTCTTCGACCCACTTTGATCATGCAAGTCTGGGACAATGATCTGTTCTCAGCAGATGATTTCTTGGGCACACTGGAACTGAATCTGGCCAGTATGCCGGCACCGGCAAAAACCGCTAGTAAATGCACTTTAAATATGCTTCAGTCGAGTGAGAAAGGAGCAAAAACGATCAACATTTTTGACTCACGACGTGCACGTGGATTTTGGCCTTTCATGAACGATGAGAACGGTGAACCGGAACTGACGGTGAGTTGAACTGAGGCACTTTTATTGCGGAAACAACAGAATGACATCGGAATTTTGGTCCGTAGAACTGATCTCACGTGCATCGATGATGTCTTATCCTCTTGTGATACACCTTTAAACAATTTTTAATTACAGCTAACAGTTGAAAATAAATCTAATTGAAACCAGGGTCGTATTTTATTGTTTTATCAAGTATTACAGCATTGTTTTATACTAATCATTTGTTCCGTTACCTCCTGTTGGTAAACGCAGTATATCACAGCATTTTCTAGAAGGGGCAACTGTCTAAACGTAGGGTTGCTTTGTGACACAAATAATCGGGGAAGCTATGTGGGACTGATGGTGGTGGTAGTGAAATTTAAACCCTCAAACTCATGGGCGCTAGTGATGAGGATGAACGCCGCTTGACAACCACTTTCCAGTAGACTAAGAATTATGAGATGCTTGTATTCAGATGGTTGATTAATCGGTTGTTTATGGGTTAATCGTTTTGAATCGTGATAGTTCCGCTACACCCTGGACAGCAGTGGATGTTCGCTTGAATGACTTCTAATTTTGGCTGACCCCTTCACTTCTCGAAACTAATAGGTTATCAGCGAAAGTTTGCACAGGGGATTCCATCGAAGGGTCTCTTCATCTTCTGTCATTTCATAGTATAGTTGGGCATTGGTGGCCAAGCTTATGGCCTGCGGTTTACCGGATTTCGTGTATCCGTTCATCCAACTAAGGTATTTCAAGGCATTAAATGGCAGCGTTCCTCAGTTAAATTGTATTTTCATACAGGTATTCGTTCATCAACGTTTGCCTGTACTGTGATTCGGCAACTTTTCAGGGGAAAATCGAGATGGAACTGGAATTACTGACAAAAGCGGAAGCATCAGTCAGACCGGCCGGTCTGGCTAGGGATGAGCCGAATGAGAATCCCCATTTGGAACCACCAAAGTAAGTCAGGGAAGTGAAATGCAAAACAATTGTGTGACAATATGTTCGTCTAGTTTGAAAATCTGCAGTAGTTAATTTTTTCATTCATTTCTGTGGATTTTTAAACACAATTCTCTGTCGGTGAAACAGTTACGATAGATGCCATACTTCAAACGGCACTCAGTGATCCCTTAGCGAAAAACACATCGTAATGTGATGAACGGTAGACGAGGTTAAACCCACAGTCACGAGGACCAACCGCAGAAAGGTAACCTAAACCGTGGAGTTCTAGGTTGCAAATCGAATCGGCAAGATGTCTCCAGTGTGCTATAATGGGATACATATTTCCGCTACTCCTGAATCTATGCTTAACAAACTGAAAAGAATTCACAACTTGGGACTCTAAACTGAAACCGATGTAATCCATCAATAGTAAGTCATACTTTTTTAATTTCCCGTGATTTACTTGTGATCGATACGGATTTCCTACATGGGAGAACAATTTTTTATGATAATGATATATAATGATATGGGGGTAAATTTCCTGTTTAGAAGACATTTTGTCTTTCAGAGGATCATGGCTAGTCCAAAATCTGTGTCTCAGAGTGCTCATAGCTTTAGCAATCGTCAAAATTACATTCAATCTCATGTACCATACATACAGGGGTGATCACCCTGGATAATTAACTTCGATTGTAAGAGTTCGTAGCTTTTCTTCACATCGTGGTTTTGCTAGTCACAAACCCAAACCAGTTTCTATAAATAACTATGCCTTAGTGGTACATCAAACTTAAAACAATGGGATCATGCGAATGAAAATATCGGTTTGTAGGTCGTATTCCGAATTTTGCTGTTTGTGCGAATCCAAATGATATAGTCATCAGTGTTTCTGTTGGACACCCGTAACTCGTAGTTTGGGATCAAATCATATCGAATTCGTAGGATCCATTATGGTACTGGCTAACGTGTGTTATCCAGATCAAGAGTAATGCACGGTCACAACCGCTTTTCTATTGTTCTCATCCTGTTAAACGAGTTCACTATTGTGCGATGCTTTGTCGCATCAAAATTTACTAAAGATTCATCGTTATTTATCCGGTTCCTTTATCACAATGAACCGGGAGAGGTTTATCATCAAGTTACACATAAAAATTAGGTGTTTTAATTTTGCGTACAGTGTTTACATCTGATTTTATGAGCAGTAAAATCGGTTGAACTGGAAATGTGAACGAACATCATCAAAAAAGACATCATTAAAAATCCGTATTTCCCCCGGTGATTTCAAGTGCCATATCACGTAGTACCTGGAGCTTGTGGTTCCGCGAAATCAATTGAGAAACTCAGTCTAGTTTTACAGTAGTGAAAAGAACTCGACACGAATGGCACGGAAAAGCATGAATAACACAACCCTCCAGATTAACAGGCTTTTGCTCAAAAAAGTTGAATAACAAGAGTTCGATAATTTTTTCATGTGTATAATGCACGAAAAGAACATTCCGATAAATATGAATCACAGATAGTTCCCTCTGATGATCACGGCGTCAAAACGTGTAGTAAATTGAGTGACACAACATGTATTCACCACAGACACTCCACGGGCTAGAACTATCGTAATCGATTCCTCTATTCAGACAAACCGTTCGACTGAAACACTGTGCAGCTCGGGTTGTAATACGTTAAAAGTATTGAGTTGTACTGTTTTCCTCTTACAAGGAGATTATCAAAGTATAAAACAACGCCTCCAAGCGTAGGTGTGAACTTCGAATTTTAAGTCCAATTACGCGAGATATGGAAAGAACACTTGTGGAATGTGAGGATATAAGAAGAATTTCTCAGGAAACAGAAAACCGTGGATCGATCAAATT